TGTGCCTGTGCACATTCATGTGGAGTCTAGAGTTCAACACCAAGTGTCTTCCTCTAATTCTCTCCACCTTATTATTGAAGACAGTGTCTTCACTGGACTGGGAGCTGGGTGATTCGGGTAAACTCACTCTCCAGCAACATCCAGGAATCTGCCTTTCTTTACCCCTACTGTGCTAGGATTGCAGATGCATTGCCACACAAGTGGGAGTGCTGGAAATCCAAGTTCAGGACCTGCATGTGTGGCAAGCACTTTACACACTATGCCATCTATCCAGGCCCCATTTCTCCCCATACTATGAGTAGCTTTTGGAGGGAAATACTTTTATTTTAGGCCATAAATTGCTACTTTTGGTTGAGTAAGTGCTTTGACTTTGATTCATTGTAGACTTTATGTGAAGGTGAATACTGAGTGTATTGCAGTGATTTGGACTGCAGATGGTTATGGAGGCCGTGGTGTGTCTTTATAGTGGACACACAAGGCTACAGTGTTGCAGAGGAGAGTGCTGATGATAGTGGCCACAGCTCTGATGCTAGGTTAGAAGGGCTGTGAGGAACATGACCTCAGGTTATGCACAGTTACACACCAATGGTGACATAAATAGCTAAATTCTAACCTATGATTAATAAGTGAGTTTTCCCCTAGGTACTGCAGAGGTATTCTTCAGTAATGTCCAATTTGTAATGGTGGCTCTGTGATCTCAGTCACTTCAGGTGAGTGGTGCTGGTGATAAATTCTGCCACTGTCAGCCACAATTTCTAGGCCGAGTCATGGAAGCATATGTCTTTAGATTCTGTGGAGGTGAGCACTGATGATTATGATATTTCAAGTGAGTTTTCCCCTAGGTACTGCAGAGGTATTCTTCAGTAATGTCCAATTTGTAATGGTGGCTCTGTGATCTCAGTCACTTCAGGTGAGTGGTGCTGGTGATAAATTCTGCCACTGTCAGCCACAATTTCTAGGCCGAGTCATGGAAGCATATGTCTTTAGATTCTGTGGAGGTGAGCACTGATGATTATGATATTTCAGGTATAAGTAACTGATGTGTAAGCATGCAACCTGGTTTGAGGTCTGTCTTTGAATTCATCAATGTGGTTGTTAGTGGCACTGGGGTCTCTTTTGGTGCCAGTCATGATTCCAGGGTTACCACCAAGCAGAAAGTCAGAATGGACTCTTAAACATTTCATTTTAAAGAGGGAGTCATATGATGCTAGCTTTGGCTCTTGCAGTTATTGGCCTAATATAAGATTTTTCTACAGAGAAAAGTATTTACATGGACCTCAGGCAGTTTCCCTCATCGGGTTCAAAACCCATGAGGACTATGCATCCCTCCGCTACTTAGGAATGCTGGTCTACATCAATGACGGGGCCGTCTAACATTCCCACTTTTCTCCTTGACCTAGGGGCTAGGATTGTAGCTGCATCAGACATTGTTCCCAACACCTCAGCTGTTAGGAATGCTTGCTGCTCTTACAGATGACCCGTGTCCCTTTCCCTTCTGCCATGTTAGGGCATCTCACAGCTGCTTTTAACTCCAGCTCCAGGGCATCTGACACTCTTTTCTGTCCGCTTCCTTGGGTGTTCAAGGAATGTGAGGTACATTTATTCCTCTCTCTCTCTCTCTCTCTCTCTCTCTCTCTCTCTCTCTCTCCCCCTCCCTCCCTCTGTCTCTGACACACACACACACACACACACACACACACACAAATATAAATTTTAAAAAATCTTAAACAGTCAGCTTTTTTCCTCCCTAATGTCATGTCTTTTAGCACTCCCTTGCCTAGTTCACTGCTGCCCTGCATTCACTCTCCTTGAAGTGCAGCCATTTCATTTGTTCCCCTGGTTCTTCTCTGTGGTAGGCAAGACATGGGCATCTCTGTTTAGGAATCTTGGATCCAGATCTGATGCATTTGAAGTGAGACTGGATCCTTAAAAGCATTTGGAAATTTTGACTATGGTGCTGTAGAAAGACCATTGGTTGTGTTTGCTGTGGTGAATATTGTATGTTGAAAACTTCTTTTTAACTTAAAATGGTTTATTTACTTTTTTGTAAATTTTTAATTGAATTTTTTTATATTTCATACAGAACATCTTAATCATCTTTATATTCCCTTCCCCGTTGACATCCTCCCATAGGCAACCTCTTCACTGGATTTCATGCATTTTGTCATTTGTGTTAAGGACTCTTGAGTCAAGTTAGTGTCCCTAGACATCCTGCAGTGAAAATTGAGCAACTGAGGTCTAGTCAACCTATCGAGAGTTCCTCCCTTTTAAGAAGATCAGCTCTCCCTCACTCAACAGTAATTAGCTTCCAATAGTTATTTTATGTGTGTCAATGTTTTTCCTGAATGTTTGTATGTGCACCATGTGCATACATGGTGTCCACAAACACCAGAAAATGACATTTAGTCCCCTGAAACTGGAGTTAGAAATTGTTGTGATTCGCTGCATGAGTTTTGGGAACCAAACAGCAGTTCTCTGCTAGAACAGTAAGTTCTCCTTACTCCTGAGCTATCTCTCCAGCCTCTCCTTTTTTATTGTTTTTAAAAACTCTTATTTAGGGGCCTGTCATGGTGAACACGCCTTTAATACCAGCAATCAGGGGGCAGAGGCAGGTAGATCTCTGTGAGATGGAGGCAATTGTGATCTACAAAGTGAGTTCCAGGCCAGTCAGGGCTATAGGGAGGCCCTGCCTCTAAACCAAAACCAAACCAAACCAAAACAAAACTATTATTTAGGAGATTCCTTAAAGTATTCTGAATTTAAAACTATGTTGTCTGCTTTTAGAGAGAATATACTGGTTTTAGACACAGAGTGCCTCTATTGTTAGTGGTTTTGCTTATACACCTGCAATGAACTGCTGGGGAAATGGTGGAAGTAGACTCCTGGTCTTGATCCTTATTTGTGAAAGAAGACATGTAGTCTTTTCCCATTAAGTTCAACATAAAATGTGGGATTTTTATTCATGTTCATTACCAACTTGAGAGTACTCTTTATTATTTTATCATTATTTAACCATGTTTAACATGGTGCATTTCAAATTGATCTGAAGATGTTAAAAAATCTGTCTCCCTAGCATAACTCTCACATGTTGTTTCTGTACAATACCTTTTCTGTGTGCCTAGACTGAAATTTTAAAATCTTTCCCTGAGGATTTTTTCTTTATAAGTAATGTTGGTTTGTCGTTTTGTTGTGCATTCTTTAAATAATTTTAGTGTAAGCTCAAG